TTTGCAAGTCAAAAGTTTCTACCTTGCTTCCACTGACGTTATGGAATTTCTTCTCCAAAACCTTCTTCACTGGATCCTCTTCCTTGAAAGTGATGAACACAAACCCCCTCCTTTTGTTGGTCTTTGGATCCATGGGAAGTTCAATTGCTTCAATCTGAGGACATGAAATACTATTTTAAGACTTGTATCTTGGCAAAATGGGTTAAACGCATGGCATTGAGGATAGTAAAACAGTAAGTTTCTTATCTATGCATATTATGCAACACCAAAGTTGCAATATTCTTTCTATACTAACATTGGCTTTCACACCAGAGGTTTCAATTTAACAACTCTTAAAAGCAATTTTAACATAGGATAGAATGGTTTGAGTTAGACAAGGGTATCTAAATAGCAATGGAAGCATTTAGTACACTACGTGTCTCCCTTGCTCTCAAGATGGGAAACCTCTGGATCAGTTACAGAAGGCTTGATACATCTGAAGTTAATTTGCAAGTTGCAAATTATTAGTAAACTAAGCAGCAACTGGAGACTGTATGTTTCTGTGTTTACTAAGATAACATTACATACCTCTCCAAACTCTCCAAAGTATTCCCTGATTTTCTCTTCTGTGGCTTCTGGGTTTAGTCCACCAACAAATATTTTCTTCACTGGATCCTTTTCCATTGCCATGGCTTTCTTGGGGTCAATTAGTCGTCCATCTAGCCTGTGTTCTTTCTGTTCCAGAACCTGAAATATAGTTTGATATGATTAACTTTAGCTGAAAAGTTTCCCCTAGAAGTTCAGAACCTGAAATACGAAGCTAAAATTCACCTTTTCAACGCTCCCAGGTTCTTTGAAGAGAATAAATCCAAAGCCTCTGGATCTTCCTGTGTTAGGGTCCATCTTTATCGTACAGTCGGTTACTTCACCAAATTTAGTGAAGTAATCTTTCAAGTCTTTTTTGCTTGTATCCCAACTGAGGCCACCAACAAACATCTTCCTGAAATATGAAAGATATAAGAGCTATTTAGATTCAGGAAGTACTACAGATAAGCAGATGCAGCAAGACACTCACAGTGGTACACACCTCAGCAGCATTGTCAGAAACAGGACCAACTGTTGAAAGTTAAACACTTGTGCATCTTGTCAAAAGCCAGTGATACTACAGGACTGCACAAGGGTGGTTTCTCCCCTTATTTCTGAGGGAATGAAACAATGCACTCTGAAGTTTACTACAGGCTATAAGAAACAGTAAAAGTTGTCTAAAATATTCCTTGCCAGTAACATATGTTCCTTCAACAGTGTTCTGTTTTTTGCAACAAAGCAGTACTGGTTATCAAGTACTGCCAACTCAGTTTTTAGAAAGAACCTAGGATCCTTCCTACTACTTCAAAAACATTCAGGATAGAATAAGACACCAAAAGTAAAATACTTGAATTCTGTTAGGATTTGTACAAATGGCTGTAAAAGTTTTAGTCCTTAAAAACAAGCTGCAAAATTTAAACCAGGTGTCTACGACCTCCAAGAACAGTCACATACATGAGATGAGACTCTGGACCTGCCCGAACTGCTATGGTTGTGCACTTCTTCCTGCTTAGTTACTGAACCTAGTTCTATCTTCATCAGTACTACACAAGTATCTCCACTATTAGAGGAGGCCAATACAGTACTTCCCTGCCCACTTTCCCCTACAAAATACACCCTGATGCATACTAGCAAAGCACAATACAGAAATGAAGTTAACGAACAAAACTTTTCAGTCAATAAGGCACTCTTCAAATGCTTCACTTCAAATGAAAACATTAATAACATGGCTGTATTTTCTATTTTCAGAGTTTCCAAGGTAACAAACTAAGCTTTTAAAAGCATTCAAGCCTTTTTATCTAACTATAGACTAAAGCAGTTTAAGTTGTCATTACTCTGTTTAGAGGCAACCTAGATTTGGCACTAGAAGCTAGGACCACTTCAGAAACTAGACTATGTTTAAATAAAATTGGCTTTTGGCGTTTATGTGTAACTTTGATTTGCTAGAGCTAGCATTCATTTATGTTCAAAAGGAAACATAAGAAAAAAAGTCAACTGTGTGCTATGGGGTTTTCTTGCTTTTCTTAAACTAGATGGAACTGTATCCTCTGTAGGCTAAACCCTTATTTTTTCAGAAGATCAAGCTCTGCGCTCTTAACTGACAAGTC